TKKTTACAAAAAAACAATGATCTCTCGTGCTTCTCTTTAAGCAATTTCTACTGCTTGAGATATGATAAAATAATTGTTTASTACTGTGAGTAAACAAGTACTACCATTCTAAATCAAAGTATGAATTCACAGTAGCAATTATATTCTAATTATTTTTCTTTTACTTGCGCATGGCGAAGTCAGAACCGCGACCTCGTCTTTCACTTGTTTCTCAATTCAAAATGGCGGCTCCTTTTTTYAATCTTCCAAAGAATCTAACATGCAAAGTCGACTTTTGTAGTTTTGACATTATTTCTAGCAACTTCCCATAAAACGCCCACATTCTCTTTGTAGAAGCAAAATTAAAAAAGTCTAGCCATGTTGAGTATTTCGAAATCAGTCGTGATTAAGAAACCTCACGACGAACTTTGATTGAAAAGTACCGCCCAGTCTTCCATTTCGAAATCCTGATTACGAGACACTTGGRGCTTTGATCCATGATAAACCTGTCGAAATCTTTTCGAAAATTAACTCTTTTCGTAGTTTAAAAACGGAATAGCTAAACTAACAAAAATAGACTTAATTTACGGCAAAAAATGTATTATTTTCCTACTTATGAATGATTAATGAGTCAATAGAAAATCATAAGCGTATTAAATAGGTCTGTAGCACGATAAAGAATCGCCCTGATTTCTATAAGCTTACATTTTTTAAAGCTGTCATTTTTCGGCAGCTGCATTTTTATGGTAAACTGTTAGTCAAAGAAGATTAAGCTGAACTTAACTATCAATGTTCCCGTCCCACTGATTTTGCAATCTGCATGTAACTCAATACAGATACGAGAGGACGCCATCTTGGAAAACTCTAGTTTGACTCCAACGAAAAATCATTCTTTTCCTTGTACTTACTGTTGTTTACGATTGGCTACTTACTTTTCTATTACTTGGATTGGTTTACTTGCTTTGATTCTGCATTCAAGTCCGGTAGAAAACGGAAAAGCTGAAAGAAGGACAAGATWTGAAATATTAGCTAGGCGCCTAGTCGACGAAAAATAACCTTGARAATTTCAGACTAAACAGACTTTCTAGTGAKGTTTGAGTGTAGCCTGGAGCGAACCATATTCTACCAAATGAAGCCGTTAGACGCCACTTCTTTTATTGGTTAATTATGAGTTTTGACAGATAAAAAATGGAATTTGGGTTTCGGYCTGTGTYATCTTYGGTTAGTTCTAATGGCAATTAAAAGAGCCAGCCAATATGAAACCTTCATTAAATAACTTTTAGTAATCAAGTTAGCATAAATACTTTTAAAATATTATAATGGAAGACATTACTAACGACTCTAATAGCAACAGTRGCAGTTAACACAAACAAAACAAATTGTAAACAACTCAATCCACAATATATAAACAACATCCCGCCAACAACATCGAACAACAATACAATTAAAAGTACGAAAACAACATACAAAATTAGACATTTTGCAGGTGTAAAAAACTTGGKGGAAAAATATTTCTGAAAGCCACGGTCTTCTARCTTTATGTTTCAATCTCTTCGCATAYAACMCATCGCGTATCTTACACATCACTAACGTCGAGTTATTTACGCAGCTAAGAAAAGAAAATGTAACGGTACCAAAACAAAAACAATTACAATCAAAACAAAACATGTAGACGTTAATATGTTATCTTATAATATCCGTGTAGTTTACCATTCCGGGAAATGCAGATTGTTAATGGCCTGCACCACAACACAACTGTCCCACTTAGCCTTTTAGAAGTCTGMTAACACGTACAAAACTTCCCACAAGTAAACGTGACCCGAAGTGTTTACATAAGGAAGGGTGCCCCTTTGTCGTAAGCCAACGCTTTTGTTTTTTCCCTTTCCCTGAGGGGCACAAACGTTAACTCGCCTACATAGGGGCAATTTCTCTCAACTCTTTCTTCGCATGCGGCAAAGCGCGTGTCCAATGAACAGTGAAGTAGCGGAACCGGTCATTGCTTGCAGCGGATGTTTTACCAAGATACTATAATATGATAAAAATAGGTAATTTACCCTGTAATTGTCTTTGTTGTAGCCATATCTTAAACTAGTATCTGTGTCATGAAAAACCTGCTAATACGCCGGTATAATCTTTTGATGTATGATACGACTTTGAACGGCTGAAGCAGACTAGCTTTCGAGAACAAACTTAAGATATGGTAATTTATAGCGAACTTCAAGGGTTCGTCCGTCCTTGAGCAAAAAGAGAAATTGATGAGAATTAGTAATAATACAAAAAYTTCGTATATTGAGTTGTCTGTTAAGTCCGGCAGCTCAAAGATGCAATATGTTTAAATTGCTCTTTTCTAGTTCGCAATTAGTTATTTTTGTGTGAAGTTTTCTGAATCTTTTGGCGGCTATATTATGTTGTTTCGCTGTAGGGCGAATATTACTTTGAGAATGAAATTCATCCATTAGAAAAAAAAAACTGATAAAAAGAAAGTATAAATTGATGCCCAAATAGAGAAAAAATGAATAAATCAAAAAGTTGAATGAATGGAAAAAAAAATGAAAGTAGAAATAATTGAAATGTAAGAGTCCATGAAACCATAATTGAAAGCATGATACACCAAAATTATTATTTAATTTGTGTTTACACAGTACTGTATAGTTTAATTTTGCTAAGCTTTTCAGTAAAAAAGCAATTTTGYTTCATAAAAACAACGATAACCGAAAGAAAGAGTCGAAAGGCTTTTAAGCAAAATATAATGATCGTGCAATCTAAGTTTAAGACAATATCGACACTAAAAATCTCAGCTTTTAAAATTGATCATAAAATATTAAAAATACTCATCATAGTTAACCGACGTGTTTCTTTTTCTTTCGCCAATTCAATTTGCTGCAGTCATTCGTGAAATAAAACAAAAAAAGCTCCATATAAACAGAATTAAATATGAAAGATGAAGTGACAATATTCTTACCTTCCAAGGACCGCTCAGAGTGCGCAAGTGTTTCAAATAACCGCTTTTCGATTATTCCTTTCCCTTGATCTTTTCTGTTTCTCAAAGAGTTCACACCAAAAATCTACCAACAGCCACAGTTTTAACGAGGGCCTACGCCATACGAAGCTATTGTGAACTTTCTACAGATGTTGCACGTTCCAAAATCGCCTTTGGGTGTTTCAGGCGTTAGCAGCACTTCARAACGAAGATTAAAATACTTTGAACAAGATATCATCAAAAGAACGCCATCAAATCAAGAGAAAAAAATACCTGTCAACGAGGAATGTTAATCTTTCGCTCAGATACATGTACTGCCTCGACAAATTGCACTAGTGATGGGGCACGCAACATGCGTTTGAACTTACTTAAGTAGGTGTCGCATTACRGCTTCGTTAAGTGCTCGTATARCATAAAGGATTCTCGTAAAGTGTTCGTCAAAGCGTCGTACTTGTTTAACCCGACATATGTTTTTAATAAGTTCGCCACTACGTCGGTATTTTCTTAAGTCAMTGGTACGCTACCTTTACAWGCGCRATAAGTATTCGTTCTCGCGTCGAYAGATTATCTCGACTCGTAGTTTTTCACATATTTTTTATTCGCGATAAACTCGACATAACTTCGGAAATGATTCGTGATGCATTCGCCATGATATCGTAACATCATTTCAAAGAGACAATGGGTTGTGCCAGCCGAATACGACATTACACCACGCCTAGGTCGAAAATCATTAGTCCATGACATAGAATTTTAGATGGATGCAAATGGCAGGTAAATTGCAAACATTCCCAAACACAGCACCCTGGCTAAGCTGTGTTTATATGACATCGCGCTGAGCGGCCTACTGCATTCCACACGGGAGACCTGATCAACGTAATAATCGCAGAGCTCCAAAGGGCTAGATTACTCACACTAAGAATATCAATATAGATAAGTACTTTTCTCCTCGTTATCAAATTCCTGTTTGTTTTCGAGTATATTGTCACACCGTAAAAAGCTATTAGTAATGCGGTCGAACATAAGAAAGACTCGTGAGCTGTCCACTACACAACAAGAGTAGCATGACTGGAAACGGTTACCTCTTCAGCGAAACTAAAAGAATATCATTCCATCTATTCTTCTAGCGGGTGCCAGAATAAATTTCCAGATTTCTCGACAATTTACCTTGTAAAACGAGTAAAGTTTCGGGTCGATCTCATCCTGGTCGAGATGTTGTCTTAGCGATTTTTATTTACAAAAACAGGCAATTGAACAGACGGGTTTTTGTTTTCATCTATGCAAGAAATATTGTTTTTACTGTTTATTTGAACCTCTGTCTGAGTTTTGGGTCCCTTTAGAGTGTTTTCTTATACGATAATCGGAGATAATTGAATGTTTTTGGAGTGAAACGCTGCGGCGTTCGAATTTAAGAAAACAAATGGTTGGAAACTTTTATTTCTCATTTATTATCCGTATGTGTTCTTGCTAATTTTTTTTTTCTTGATATTTTAAAAAAATTTAATTTCCCTATCTATTATAAATTCATTTATAAATGTAAATTAATTTCAYGATTTATAGAAAAATATTCACTATGTATTTTTTTGTTTGATTAAGTAAGAAAAATGGAATGAAAGGAAGATGGAATGAGAGGAAGATGATGAAAAAAGAGAAAAATGAGAACGTAGGACAAGGAGCAAAAGAGAGTAGAAATAAAGAAGTTAAATGAAAATCAAGAAACAACACAAAAAACGCTTAAAGAAAGAATGAGATGAAAAACAAGGAAACATGTGTCAAGTGAAAGAAAGACAGAACAGAGGAGAGAGGTAAGGAAAGATGGGAAAGAAAGAAAGGGAAAGAAAAAAAAGAAGGGAAGAAAAATATAGAAAGGCAAATTAAGAAAGAAACGAAAGGAGGAAGAAAGAAAGAACCGATCGACTTAAAAGAAGCACAAAAGAAAACGAAAAGGAAAGAATATTAAGAGAAAGAGAGCGACCAGCACTGACAAGACAACAGTGTGAAATCACAAAGAACGTCTATCCTGTCATGCGCAGAGGGTGATGTTACCAGTATCACTTCCCAGTAACAACAATTGGTTGAGCTTTAAATAACCAAGTGATGTCATATTCCCCCGAAACAGTTCCGGTGCCAATTTGTAGCTTGTGTAGGAACCCTAAAAACAGTGACAGTTTTTGAGTCGCGTTTTATGCAGTTGTTTGGAGGAAGTGCGTGTTAACGCTGTTTTACAAAAGGCAAGGGTACCAAAATGGAAATGAAAAGTGGAGTAAACAAAAGAAAGAAAGAAAAACGAAAAACAAAATGAAATGGAAAAGAATTGTAACGATRGAAAGGGAATAGCCAAGCAAAKAAAAAGATAGAAGAGAAAAAGGAGTTGAAATTGATGAAAGAACGGGAGAAAAGAAAGAAAGAGAATTTTAACGCACCTCTGAGGGCTCGTCCACCAGTTCGTAAACCCCTATCCTACTAGCGATGCTGGATGATATAATGTGGTCCTTTTGTACAAGTAGAAGGTTTAACGGTTCTGTATGACCTGTGAAAACMGTTAAAGTAAGCAATCAGTAAGGTGGTCATCGTTGTAATATGCTCGAACAACATGCGCAACTGAATGATGATAACATGAACATCAACAACAGAACCAACAACAGTAACAAAAATCCCAAAAGAAACAATGTCATCATCACCAAGAACAACTGTAGCAACAGCAACCTCGACGACAAAAATAACATTAGCAACATCAGCAACAACACTAACAAATTAGCCCCTGCAACAGTAACAGAATACGAAAAAAAGCACCAGCATGATGATGATAATCATCATCATTATCAACAACAACAACAACAACAACAACGGCAACAACAACAACAACAACAATAACAACAACAACAGAAATACTTAATAACAATAGCATGAGCAAGCTTTTGTATGAACAACAACAGCGACAACAACAACCACACCAAAACAATCATAATTACAAAAGGTTACCTTTTAGATTCTTTAATCGTACGCCGTCATCTTTCCACAACGAWAGGCCTTGGTCCATAGAYGAAGTGAAGAACGAATTGTTTGAAAAAGGACAAACCTAAATCAAAAACACCCACAAATTTACCAAGGCATAATAAAAGGCGCTTGGACGGGCCAGCCTAGTCCTCAGGCGTTCTACTCAGGGACGGGAATTAAAKGCGCTTGGACGGGCCAGMCTAGTCCTCAGGCATTCTACTCAGGGACGGGTAACCCTCGGGCGAGAACGTAAGAGAGTCACTCTATGAAGACATGTAAATCTGGAAGCGAGAAATGGGACTAGGCAGTGTACGGTCAAATACCAAGAGAAAWGGCTGCTCATTTAAAGACCCTGTATAATAGTTCTTTAGAAAGAAGGCTTTTAAAAAAACGTTTGTCCGATAAAGTGGCGAATGTCAATGGTCGAACGGCGATTGCACGACCGAAAGTAGCCATGGGTTTTGCTTGTTGAAATGATTTGTACTTTAAGATGATCTTTGGTAAACAGTGGCTCCATTTAGTCTCCATTTCTATGTAATGTGAATCCAATAGGTGAAATTTTGTTTATCAAAACAGTGTAAACATAGTCCCTTTCGGTCGTGCAATCTCCCTTCGACAATCCTCGTTCGCCGTTCTCCCCGACGTTTTTTTGGAATAGCTGTATACGAGTTCAAGAGRAAAGGGCCTCACCTGAACGATATCACTGGTATGCGCTCTTCTTTGACTGCGCAGTAAACCACCGCGGACGTCAAGAACAGAGACAAGACCCGAGGAAAAGCCGAGGGCTATCCAACGTCCATCGGGTGAACAACACATGTGTCGTACCGTACCTAAAACAWAATAATAAGCACAACAATGACTAAAACCGATAAAACAATAATAATAACAATTTTAATAAATCCAACAATAACCTCATTAACAACAGTAACAACCACGATAACCTCAACCATAATAATAAATAACGACAAAAATAATAGAACCAAAAGCAATAATAGACTTCGATCATATATGGTATGGTATTACTCCGACGAAGGATTAACGTCCGAAACGTCAGTAAATTGTTTCACCTACTTTTTTACGGTGTTAAATTTATCTTTTTACACRACTGTTTCTTTAGAAACACCGACGCAGCTCACACTAGTTTACCGCTAGTTTTCATCATTTTTCATATATGGTATTGTTCACATTATTCAGCAGTGTTGACCAAATATGGTAAGTTTGATTCTCACCTGCTGCATTGCTTGTTGTAGTCTTCCACTCGTGAACAAAACACGACTGACGAACATCGATAAACCTGAAAAAACACAAACCTTGTTAACCGTACATAGGATAACCTGTCACTCGTCCGCTTCATACATAATACAGTCAACTCTCGTCTTACCGACCCCCGGTATAACGGACACCTCGATATTGCGGACAATAAAATACTGAATCCCCGKCRAAAAATACAAAGAAATGACTGAAAGTAACTGTCGYTACTACGGACTCTYGCTACTKCGGACACTAAATTACGGTCCCGAGGGTGTCCGTWATAGCGAGARTTGACTGTATAGAAACAAAGGAAAGTTATAGTGCTAGGAAGGAGGTTATTCGGGCAGAAAGACCCTTGGAAATAATTTCGGAAAAAAATAAATTTCCGACGTCGATGGGATTCGAACCCACGACCCGTGCGCTCCTTACATACCCCACCCTGATGAATTCTTTCGACATCACTGAGTAAAAGTGCTATATTTTGCCTGCCTGACGTACCTTGCCGTCGATTCAGAGGTAGCTACCACCACAGTCTGACTAGGAGCTGGCATTGCTACCATGGCAACAATGGTTGTGTTCTTGTTYGGTTCTAGCGTAGCGATTGTGGTTCCGTGAACGGGATCCCAAATCTAAAAAAAATTTCTGTCATAATAGTATGCTTACTTACAAAGATAAAGCGAGCACGCAAAATCCGTGGAATGAAAGCGTGTAGCAATTTCCGAATAATAAAATAAGTAACTAACTTAAATATACAGTTGTGTAAAAAGATAAATTTAACACCATAAAAAAGTGGGTGAAATAACTTAATGACGTTTTGCACGTTAATCCTTCGTCGGGGTATCTTTACTCCGACGAAGAATTAATGTCCGAAACCTCAGTAAGTTATTTCACYTTCTTTTAACCGTGTTAAATTTATCTTTTKACACAACTKTTTCTTTAGAAACATCGACRCAGCTCACAYTAGTTTACCGCTAGTTTCCACCATTTAACTCAGTAAATATAACTTGATCTAAGTTAAATATAACACGTACATGAACAGAGCCATCACATGACACAGCCTGTCGAAGAGACTCGACCATATCAACGCTAAACACACCACGGGAATGACGGTAGTACGTCCATGAGCTTGCTGATTGGGCAGTCCCATCACCATGGTTGCTAAGCGACCAAAGTTTGACGGTCTTATCTTTGCTCGCAGACAGGAAAAAGTGCTCGCTGTCCTGGGTGTATATGGAACGGACAGGGCCACTGTGACCTTAGAGGAGGGAAGGAAAGAAGGATTAAAGGAGGAGGAAAAGGAGGATTAAAGGAGGAGGAAAGGAGGAGGGGTTAAGGTTTTTTTGTTTTAGAATAAAACAAACGTGATTCAAATGCCATCAACTTCGTAAGTTTTTGATATAGGGAGGTTTGAGGGAAGAAAGGGGTTGTCAATATTTTTCGGGGGGAGGGGAGTTTTTTTTTGGGGGGGGGGGAAGACAAAGTATTGATTGACCTTATTACACCTGTAAAAGTCTGGAGCTTGATTTGCTGAAATTCAAAACAACTTCTGCGAGATCTTGTGTTAGATTCTGAAAAAAAAAAAGCAATATAAATATATTAGTTTTACTAATAAGAAATAAGTTCAATCTGAGAGTAAACACAAAAAAACACTTACGAAGCTGATATTTCCAATGATCCAGCCAGCTCCCTTTKAGATATTGGTCCGATGCAGTTGTATGGGTCGATTCAGGTTTACTTCTGTTTACAAGAACAAGTGATGGTCTCTGATTGATGTGTATAATTTAACGCTCTAGTGTACGACTGTAGTGAGAGTACAATTCAAATAATAGGTTGTAATTATATGCTGGATTAAGGATACATTTGCATCAAAAGAGACTAGGGATTCTGAAACTTTTTTTGTWCACTAAGATCACTACCACTTCACACAGCACACACATCTCTATCATCATTCCTAAACAAAAAACATACCCTCCCCCAAATTATGACCAGAGCCRGTTTTCATACCATCTAATGCACCAACGGACTTACCCCAAATCTTGACTCTTCCGCTTCTCTTTTCTACCACTCAGCCAAGAAGGAGTCCTGATTCTCCTGGCAGCAACTCTTCTCAAAGCATTTGTCTTGCTGTCTGTGTCGTCTTCGTTGCCATTTTTTCCTTTCAGCTCTCCTTGCAAGACTTTTTCCACCTCATCGTCGCACTCATCCTTTTGATGGTCATCACTGGTGTCAACTGATTCGCCGACGTCATCAGTTCCAGGGTGAGACAGCTGTGCATCATGACTGCAGCACAAGTTCCATATAAGTTCATGGTTGTACAGCGAGTTTTCCATGTATTTGCTTCCCATGATGCCACACAGAGGAACGTAAGCGTGGTGGGCCATGGCGGCGGAGAATGTCTGACACAGTTCTTCGTATACAGATGTTTTGTAAAATGCCTCGATTTGCTCAGGCTTGATAACGTTGCCTTCAAGGACTWAACAAACAGAATCGATAAGTGTGGAGTTATCGATGAATAAGCATAATGAATGAGCATAACCGAATGAATAATTGAATGAATAAATGAACCAACGAATAAGAGTGGAGCTTCTGCATGGATGCAAGAATGGCTGGGTGGATAAATGAATGAATGAAAGACTAAATAAATGGACGAACGAAAAAATAAATGACTGATTGCACTAATCAATGTCGCATGCRCATAAATAAATGATTATTGAATAAATGAATGGAAAATATGCTATGAACAAACGCAAGGACAATTCGTAAAACAATGTATYCATGATAAGAAWAGCTAAACATAGCACATAAACCTTGAAAATATCGCACGATAAAAACGACAATCTACGTGATGTACTGTTGATTGTTCTAAAGAGTCTACTCAAACTAAACGCCCAGCGACAAGTATAGATACGTAAAAATGTACACTTCCTTCAAAGATATTCCCCTGATATCTTTGTTGACATAAAACTTCAAGAACAGATTCTTCCTTGACGTACTTTAACTGCTTTTACTTAAAATTGTACTGATATCGATCTTTGATCAAAACAGTAATCAGTTCTATCAGATAAAATAGTAATTATTTCTTAAGAGTTCACTTTGCGAGTTCGAAAAAAAGGGCGTCACTGACGCGGCCCGCGTGATAGAAGCTCTAAGACAGTAAGACCAAGTATAAGTAAAGAACGGACGGAAAGCTGTACGAGAAACCAAACTGACACCAAAATTGTVTCGCATAGTCGTTGCTTTTCAAGTTTGAGTGCAATGTTTCACATTTCAAAATATTTTTTCGCGTTTTTATAATCGATTTATTCAACTTATCGCAAAACAAAAGGCTGAACGTTGGGCAAGTCACGTACGCTGGTTGGCTGTAAGTAGATAGAAATYGTATTTTTAGGTTTGATTGACATTAAGTGTGTACCTGGTGATTGTGGGATATCCTTGGCTTCTTCTTCAACACTGTCTACAGAACTAGAAACAGCAATAAAAGAGGAACTTCCAAGTTTTATCTCCTTCTTCTTCATGTGAACTAACTCAAAACAAGAGAAAAATTGCTGCAAAGGTGCCGTCATTAGTTCTTTGGCCAACTCGCGCTCCAGCTTGAGACTCAGCACCGTCAACAGATCTACATAGTTATGACAAAGAGCTGCCCTAGCATCACCCCCACCGGGGAATTTGGTATTCCAAGAGGAAAGGATWCGTAGTACAGGCTGAAAGACAGATTTAAARAGAACCTCGAAGTTCTCAATGAGCGTRTCCTTGGAGATGTAGGGAACGCAGTACTTAATCAAAGCAAAGACAGCAGCAAGAGAAGCTTCTCCACGAGCTGTGATCTTAGAATGGATCGA